TTCTATTCTGTATTTTGTTTTTTATTCTATTCTGTATTCTATTTTCTATTCTATTCTCTATTCTATTCTATTCTGTATTTTGTTTTTTATTCTATTCTGTATTCTATTTTCTATTCTATTCTTCTATTCTATTCTGTATTTTGTTTTCTATTTATTCTATTCTATTCTGTATTCTATTTTCTATTCTATTCTATTCTATTCTGTATTTTGTTTTCTATTCTATTCTATTCTATTCTATTCTATTCTGTATTCTATTTTCTATTCTATTCTCTATTCTATTCTATTCTGTATTTTGTTTTTTATTCTATTCTGTATTCTATTTTCTATTCTATTCTTCTATTCTATTCTATTCTGTATTTTGTTTTCTATTTATTCTATTCTATTCTGTATTCTATTTTCTATTCTATTCTATTCTATTCTGTATTTTGTTTTCTATTTATTCTATTCTCTATTCTATTCTACTCTCTATTCTATTTTCTATTCTATTCTGTATTTTGTTTTTTATTCTATTCTATTCTATTCTCTATTCTATTCTATTCTATTCTACTCTATTCTATTCTGTATTTTGTTTTCTATTTATTCTATTCTCTATTCTATTCTACTCTCTATTCTATTTTCTATTCTATTCTGTATTTTGTTTTTTATTCTATTCTATTCTATTCTCTATTCTATTCTATTCTATTCTACTCTATTCTATTCTGTATTTTGTTTTCTATTTATTCTATTCTATTCTGTATTCTTTTCTGTTCTATTCTATTCTGTATTTTGTTTTTTATTCTATTCTATTCTCTATTCTATTTTCTATTCTATTCTCTATTTTGTTTTCTATTCTATTCTCTATTCTATTCCATTCTGTATTCTGTTTTCTATTCGATTCCATTTTCTATCCACTCTTTATTTTATATTTTATTCTATTTATTTATTTTATTATATGATTTTTTTTTATTTATTTGATTTCTCTACCTGCCCATCTCAGCAAACGAATCTGGGCAGCTCACCATTCTGAAACATGCATTGCATAGTAAAATCTTTCAAAACACTTGAAAGCAACGAAAACCGTAATTTGGATTTGCACAGCCAAGTTTCCCGCAGCCCTGTTCCTTCCTGTTTCCTTGCTTGAGTCCTTCCAAATGGTTCCCTGATGCCAACCCTTTCTCCTCCGGCCCCACAGGCACCAAATCTTTCAACATGATGTCCCCAACGGCCGACAATTCGGAGCTGCTGGCCGAAATCAAAGCCGGGAAGAGTTTGAAGCCAACCCCCCAAAGTAAGGGATTCACCACCATCTTCTCCGGCTGTGGCCAAGTGGGCGCCAGTGTAAGTTATGCCGGGAAACTGCGTCTCTCTTCATCCGGCTTCCTTTTATTTCTCTTCCTTGAAGAGCCTGAGGTGCAAATGGTTCCTTTGTTCGGGGACTGTCCGAAGTTACCTGGCTTCCACGGCTGAGGCAGGAAGGGGTTAGCTATATTTGCCACCTTATTTGTAAAAAATAGCTAGCGGCAGTTTAAGGAATGAATGAATGAGAAGAAAGAAAGAAAGAAAGAAAGAAAGAAAGAAAGAAAGAAAGAAAGAAAGAGAAAGAAAAAAGATAATAAGACAGAAAAAAAGAAAGAGGAAGAAAGGAAAGGAGAGAAGGGAGGGAGGAAGACAATAAGATAAAGAAAAAAGAGAAAGGAAGGAAGGAAGGAAGAAGAAAAAAAAGAAAAAAGAAAGGAAGGACAGAAGGAAGAAAAGGAGGGAGAAAGAAAGAAACTAAGTAAGTAAGACAATAAGACAGTAAGACAAAGAAAAAAAGAAAGAGGAAGTTAGAAAGGAAGGAAGGAAGAAAAAAGCAAGTGAGGAAGGAAGGAAGGAGGAAAGAAAGAAAGAAAGAAGATAATAAGACAGAAAAAAAGAAAGAGGAAGAAAGGAAGGAAAGGAGAGAAGGGAGGGAGGAAGACAATAAGATAAAGAAAAAAGAGAAAGGGAAGAAGGAAGAAGGAAAGGAGAAAAGGAAAAAGGAAAAAAGAAAGGAAGGAAGGACAGAAGGAAGAAAAGGATGGAGAAAGAAAGAAACTAAACAAGTAAGTAAGACAATAATACTGTAAGACAAAGAAAAAAAGAAAGAGGAAGTTAGAAAGGAAGGAAGGAAGGAAGGAAGAAAAAAGCAAGTGAGGAAGGAAGGAGGAAAGAAAGAAAGAAAGAGAAAGAAGATAATAAGACAGAAAAAAGAAAGAGGAAGAAAGGAAGGAAAGGAGAGAAGGGAGGGAGGAAGACAATAAGATAAAGAAAAAAGAGAAAGGAAAGAAGGAAGAAGGAAAGAAAAAAGGAAAAAAGAGGAAGGAAGGATAGAAGGAAGGAAGGAAGGAAGGAAGGAAGGAAGGAAGAAAAAAGCAAATGAGAAAGGAAGGAAGGAGGAAAGAAAGAAAGAAAGAAAGAAAGAAAGAAAGAAAGAAAGAAAGAAAGAAAGAAAGAAATGGCAGTCACATGACTGGAGAGAGGCAGTGGGGCTGCCCCCATCAGAACCTCAAATCCACGTCAAAAGTTCCTCACTAAGTCACTAAGTGGGCAGTTGAAAGTTGAGGAGCTACTTTCAAAGCTAGAATGATTNAGGAAAGAAGGAAGAAGGAAAGAAAAAAGGAAAAAAGAGGAAGGAAGGATAGAAGGAAGGAAGGAAGGAAGGAAGGAAGGAAGAAAAAAGCAAATGAGAAAGGAAGGAAGGAGGAAAGAAAGAAAGAAAGAAAGAAAGAAAGAAAGAAAGAAAGAAAGAAAGAAAGAAAGAAATGGCAGTCACATGACTGGAGAGAGGCAGTGGGGCTGCCCCCATCAGAACCTCAAATCCACGTCAAAAGTTCCTCACTAAGTCACTAAGTGGGCAGTTGAAAGTTGAGGAGCTACTTTCAAAGCTAGAATGATTTCCAAGCTCTTTTCTTTTGCTGACGTCTCCCCCCCCTTCCCCCCCACCCCCAATAGGTTGAGTTCCCTGCAGCTTCCGCGTCCCCCGCGGGAACACCAACGCCCCCCTCGACTCCCGAGGAAGCCTCCGGATTCAGGGCTTCCGGCTCGCCCAAGTTGGAGATCAACGGTTCCATGACCAGCCACTTTGGGGCCCCAAGTGTCCACGTGGACCTGGAGGGCCTGATCCCCACCCATGATGAGCAGGGGAGAGCCATCCCCGAGTGGAAGCGACAAGTGATGCTACGCAAGCTCCAGATGAAAATTCAGGAAGAGGAAGAGCAGAGACGCAAGGTAAATGGGCCGGACACAGGGTGTGTCTGTGTGCATGCTCAGCATGGTGTGGCAGTGTGGTGTGCTGTGATGCGGTTTCCATGATGTGTGGAACCTCACTCTGGGCCCCACCAAAGGAAAACCATAAACCCAGGTCTTGTCTTTAAAGGCAAGCGGTTGGGTCCAGTGGGAGCACATCCTGGGGTCAAGATACACTGGTTCCGTGGCCAGAGTGTTGATTCCTCTAACGTACACTTGTCTCCTCTGGGTTCTGTGGGGTCCTTGGTGGTCTCTGTGCTCGGTGGTTTTCTTGCAGACGTTTCATGACCCAGCTAGGGAACATCATCAGTGCTAGAAGGGAGAGGGGTGCAGAAAGGAGGAGGAGGACTGTGGGGTCCTTGGTGTTATCTAAGTTTGGTCGTTTGGTTGCAGATGTTTCATTATCCAGCTAGGTGACGTCATCAGTGCTAAAAGGTAGTGAGGTATGCAGGGAGGAGGAGGAGGAGGAGGGAGGAAGAGGAAGAGGACTGCGGGATCCTTGGTGCTCTCTGAGCTTGGTGGTTTTCTTGCAGACGTTTCATGATCCAACTAGGTAACGTCATCAGAACTGAGTGGGTTTACAGAAAGGAAGAGGAGGAGGACAACTGTGGAGTCCTTGGTGCTCTCTGAGCTTGGTGGTTTTCGAGCAGTTTCATGACCCAACTAGGGAACATCATCAGTGCTAGAAGGGATTGGGGTTTGCAAGGAGGAAGAGGAGGAGGAGGAGGACTGTGGGGTCCGTGGTGTTCTCTGAGCTCGGTGGCTTTCTTGCAGGCGTTTCATGACCCAACTAGGGAACATCATCAGTGTTACAACTGAGTAGGGTTTGCAAAGAGGGGGAGGAGGAGGAGGAGGAGGACGACGACGACGACAACTGTGGGGTCCTTGGTGCTCTCTGACATTGGCAAGGCCCGTGGGACCCTAAACGGAGATTCACAACTAAAAGGTCTTTTGCAGAACTTCAGGACAGTATGTAGAGAAAGTGGCGTCCTTCCTTCTAACGTATCTCTAGTTTGTGTGTGCTGCTCAGGCGTGTTCACTGCATGGCTGACGTGGTGTGACCAACTCTGAAGCTCATTTAACCTGCACTATGGGCCAAGCGAGGACTGGTTCGTTGCACAGCGGTTGCGACGGTGAAAATGTCCGCCGTAGATATTCGGCGACTTCTAAATCTTTCCCACCAGATCACCAATTCGACCTGTGCATCTGACAGCTCTCTTCGACCTCCCCGTGGCCAGATACTGCAGGAATTAAAGGCCTTACATGACCGCTTCATGGTGTAACGTGTGAATGCATCTCGCGGCATCTGCCGTTCATGCCGTGGTGTCCTTCCGCGATTCTCTTGCATGCCTGTCCACCCGAGCAGAAAAATATTGCTCTGTCTCTCTCTCCCAATACGGCCGTCCAGTTTTCTACCCACCGTCTCCTGGCGGGCTGGTCCCGCCACAGGGAGTTTTTAGCCAAACTGCTCCGTTCTCATTACACCACAAAGTAACATGTAAGGCGAAGAGGGTGTGCAGAGTGCGGATGATGTAGTAGCCCGTCCTGAGGGACCCTCCTTGCCCTCTGGGTTGTGCTTTCTTTTTGTCTTGCGTAGCTACGATCTGGGAATTGCTACCCCCAGGAAGGCTGGCGGTACTCCCATGCTCACAACGCCATTTTGGGACCTTTCGGGGAACTGATGACCGAAGACGACATCCTCCGTATTGAGAAGCAAATCCAGAACCTCCAAGTCGTACACAAGGTGCAGAAAGTCGAGACCGAACTGGAACAGCTGGAACAGGAACTCCAGCAGCTGCTGCCGGTCTCGGCCGCCTTAGCGAAGGAACACTTCACCGTCAACCCCAAGTGCATGCACGGCCGGGCGGAGGACCTCCCCGGTTGGTGTAACAAGATCTCCATCCTCTTGAAAAGCATGTCCATCCTGCTGGCCACGCTGGGCGGCAAAGCCACCAGCCTGGCTGAAATGGTTACCACTGAAGCGTTGCTGCAGAAGAGCAAAGACACTCAGGCACTCCCCTCCGCAGCACCAACGTTCAACGACGGCCCAAGCCACATCGCCCGTTCTCAGTCGTTCAGCTGCACCCGGGAGGAAGTGGAGAAGGAGATCATGCAGTGGGGGGTATCGGTGAAGAATCTGAAGGCCAACTACGAGGTCCATGTGCAGGCGCAGCTGATCAGCGAAGCAACCAACCGGGTGTACAGGAGGAAGCGTTCCCTGCCGGTGGAAACGGCCCAGTTCACTCTCGGGCGTGAGCCCATTTTGGAAGAAGACTACGTCATGGGCCTGGAGCCATTCACTGTCCTGGGAGATGAGGCGGTCTCTATCGGTGATCTAGAACCCCCTGTTCAGACATCCCATGCGCCTCTCCTGTACGAGGTGGGGCCCAGCCCGTTCCCCAGAGGAGACTCCTTCGCAGAAACCATGTTCAGCCCTGACCACATGACCAGGAGCCTCCCGGTGCAGACCGACCTGAGTTGCATCCAAGACTACATCGACCTGCGGAAGGAACGGATTGTCTACCTTTTCCTGGAGCACTGGAAGAGGTGGACCTTCACCGATTCGGGCAGAGAGGTCCAGCCAAGGAGGGTGACGGAGATGTCGGATCCCGATTTGGAGGTAGACGGCCAAGTGTACAACCTGCCTGCGTTGACAGTCTCAGAGCCGAAACCCACCGAGGACCACCAACTCCTGTACTTCATGAAGCAGCGCCAAGTGGTGGGCAAGCTGCTGACCCACTGGAGAAGCATCATCAGCCAGGTGCCCACCAGACAGATCCGCCGCCTGAGCCACGTCGACATTTTCTACTGGCCCGAACATTTTTTGCCGCACGTTGACGGCTCGCCGGTGGAATACGACAGCCTCACCTTGGACCTCTTCATGCTGGGTTACTTCCAGCTGCTGGAGATGGACATGAGCCGGGAGGAGCGCAGGTTCCGCCACCTGCTCTGCTACGAGATGTTTGACCATCTGGGCAGCCACAGCTGGGACCTCATCCGCCACTTCCACAAAGTGGTGATGGAGGAAGTGGAGGCCGGGAAGCGGGATTGGCTGGATGGCTTTGAGGACCTCAAGCAGAGGTTCTTCAGAGACGACCTGGTGGTGGACCACGGGACCACGCCCAGTGTGGATGTCCCGGCCGAAACCCTACATTCTCCCCCTATTCTCTCCCACCAGGAATCCTCTCAGTCCTTGGTCAGTAGCACCCAAGAGCCCCCGTGCGTTGGAGACGAGCTAGCAGTGGTCCCAGCGTTAAAGAGTAGGGCGAATTCCATCCAGCTCGTTTCAGAGCTTGGAGAATTCAACAACGATGACATTTGCCGCTACATAGACCGTAGCTTCTCGTTTTGGAAAGAAAAGGAGGCCGAGATGTTTGATATCTGAGGGCCCAGCTCCCTGGGGTGGTTTGGAGAAGATCTTTGCAGAAGATAGCTTCTTAAACATGGGTCGGTTCAATCTGGAGCCGGTCCTTCACCAGTCCAGAAGGTGACATTCACTGCGCTCCCAAATAATATTGATAAGAAGGTGCTCCTAGCTAGGACTTTGGCTGGTCTTGGTGGACCAAGCGAATGGATCACACAGTTGAGTCCCGTGCTGCACCCGATACTGAGGTCAGCCAAGAACACCCCTAGAATTCCAAGGCATATGTAGCGTTGCGGCCCCGTCTGAACTCACTCTTCATCTTTGTGATGTGCTCTTTGCACACATCGACAGAGCACATGTGGGACCTCTGTGCAAGTTGCGGGGGGAGGGAAGCTAATCCACGTTGCTACCCAGTAGAAGGGGAAACAAATAGAAGTTGTGCTGAACAAGGACGCTTAGTTATTGGTGGAGACCAAGAAAGTTTGAAGCAGTTAAGGGCACAATCAGACAGGGAGGGTTTTTGGTCCAAACCAGATCCCGTATCTGTTTTAGTTTTAGTTTTTTTTAAAAATCAATTTATGCCAGATGTGTAACACACTTAGTCCTCAACCAAGCACGATCCAGTGTACCTTAGCCATCTTGTGTAGATTCAACACACGGGATTAATGTATAGTGCGTAGAGTGTGTACGGACAAGCTTCCACATGTTAGGAAACTGACGTTTTGGGCCCTGTTGACACCAAAGGACAACAGTGCCTCGTCTTGCATTTGTTGCGTGTCGATGTGCTCCACGCAACGTCGTTCAGTTGTCACAGTAGAGTTCAAGAGATTTTGCAGTGAATGGGGTGGACTTAAGAGTGGATGGTGCGCTAATGTAATTAATTTCAGAAATACTGATTATACTTCGCATAATAGTTCCATCAATTCTCGACAATCTTAGCACAAAGAGACAAATTAACATCGCTTTGCCCCCCGAGTGTGCAATTTGTTGGCGTGTTACTTCTATCCCATCAGGGGTGCCATGGCTCCCTTTGCTGTGTGCGTTATTATGCAAGTTTTTCTAATTATTTTCTTATTATTATCGCTACTAAAAATAGGGGAACAACCTCAAATTAAATTGGGGAGCCGGTTTCATTTTGATGGAAATTTACTTCCCCCCCCCCTCCCCACCGAAGTTTGTCTGAAGAAATAAAATATGTTGTGTGCAAAAGAAAAAAATGGGCAATTTTTTTTTGTGATTGCAGAGAGAGAGAGATAAAGGAACTAAAAGGCATCAGGATATTCTCATTTCTACGCCCTGAATTTGTTTAGACTTAAAACATCTTTATATTAGTTTCCATTCAACGATTGAAGAGCCAAACACCGCAGAAAAAATAATCTGAATAGTTAATTTTTGACCGTGACTTCCAAAAACAATGGAAGCAAATTTTAGTTGTTATGAATTCTCAGGGATAAAAAGTGACCGAATTTTTTAAAAAGCATCATTTTTTGTCTAACCATAAACCTCAATGAAATTGATAGCTTTATCGCCATTTTAATAGTATTTACATAGAATTTAATAGCGTTTTAATTTAATTTACCAATGTACTAAATCATTGCACAGCAAAATTTTAAAAGTACCCAACATTTGAAGTTGTTGTTTTTTTTAAGTGAAAGGGGAATCCAGCTTGCTTTAAAATAGCAATTTTACAACCTTAGCAATGTTAAGAGGTGTGGACTTCAACTCCCAGAATTCCCCAGCTCACGGATCAACCCGATTTTACACCGCCATTGTTAAGGGAACCCATGACTTACGGAGAGGCTGCAATGGTTATAAGTGTGCAAAATGGCTTTTGTGATGCACTTGTCACTTGCAAAAGTGGTACAATTGGAAGGGACCTGGGAGGTCTTCTAGCCCAACCCCACCCCTGCTTGAGGCAACGGGGATGTGGATTAGCTAGAAAATCCACGTCATTTGAAAACGGATCACCCCCTGAAA